TTTGCCAAGAATACCCAGCACTGAATACCCACTCTTATCAGTAATTACAGTACAATAAATTATTTGACTGTTGATCCATCTCCCTTATGAAAAATGCAACCAAAAACATGCCATGTTTCTTTAAGATAAGAAAACTGTAATCACAATCTATCCAGGTAATATTGGCCAAATACGTGTTTTTTTTAAAAGTTCATTCCACTTTCTTACTGAATGTTAGGAACTGCCTCTTAGAAAGTATTATGTCACAGATGTATTTTAGATTATACAATAATAGCTAGCTTGTTGAACTCATTATTGTAGGATTGAATTGGCTAGTTGTTGCAAATTGAAATATGTGTTATAAAATACCTTTACTACACATGTTGTGATTCCAGTTTTTACTGTGAAATGGAACAGGAAAGCATATAATATTAACTAATAATAATCCTTACATTTGATATAGTGCCTTTAACATCATGGAGACATCTCAACTTGGAGGCAATGTGCTACTTTTGCACCAGGCTGAGACACATAAATTATTATTCAATTTAATCAACTCGAATTCAAGATCCTCATCCTCACCTACAAGGCCATTCATGGCCTCGCTCCCTCCTACCTCTCCGACCTACTGTCCCCCTACTTACCTGCCCGTACCCTCCGTTCCTCTGGCTCCGGTCTGCTCCACATCCCCCACCCCAACCGCCCTACCATCGGTGGCTGGGCCTTCAGCCTCTCAGCCCCTAGGCTCTGGAACTCCATCCCCCAGTGCCTTTGCCGCTTCCTCCCTTTCCTCCTTCAAGGCCGGTCTCAAGACCTTTCTCTTTGACCGTGCCTTCAGCTCCCCTCTCGACTCTCTACCCCCTCCTCACCCCCTCCCTTCCCTCCCCTCACCCTGACCATTTCCCCAATGCTCGGGTCCTGACCCAACTGTTCAGCGCCTTGGGACGTCCTCCCGACGTGAAAGGCGCTCTATTAATGAAATCTTGTTGTTATTGTTGTATTACATACTGTATTTTACAGTATTACAGTTTAAACCATGGCATCATAAACACTGCTAAAATAATGATAATCTGGGGAAATAGTTTCTTCTTAGTTTCAGACAACACCCTTAAGGAACATTTAGGTGCAGCTAGTCTATATACACTAAAAGGTCAAATTAACATTGTGTTTGAATTCTGAATTAAATGATGCCCTTACATTTTTTCTGTTGTAATTGGTAGCAGTGTTCACTGTTGTTCATTTTACAGGTGCTAGCAGATACTGTATAGTATTTTCCTCTGAACTTCTTCAATTCCTTGCTTCGCAGAGACCAGGGGTGTAATCCAAGCTCAGCAGTTAAATGTACACAAGTGACTTTGTGGAGTTGGCCCATTGACACTGTTTGGCAACGTCACAAAATAAGCACTTTATACTCACATGCATGCACTCATATACACATATGCATGTGTATGTTAATGACTTGCAAATGTAATCTTTTTAACAACAGGTTAATTTAGTAGGCAGTGGTGGTGGGGGGGGGGGGGGAAGCAATCAATGAGAGCATAAGGAATGTGCTTATGGAGATTATGGTGATGAGCCAAAAGGCAGTTTAAACTGACAGGACAAGTGGTCACTCTCGTAAAACTTTATTACTTTGGTGGGTATGGTATACAGTAATGCGGACTGGAAACTCACAGTTCAGACAGCTTATATTCACAAGGTGAATCAGACTTCTATCAACAGAGTATAACAGTTTATACTAACTCCTACTGCATGTTCAGAGCTTTCAATACATTCCATCCTGTGGCAGTTCCAAACTGACCAGAGTTTGCAGTGTGCAAACAGACTCCTCAGCTACCAACAGGGGCGGCTGTCTAAATTGGATGCTTATTTCTACACGACAAAAATCCCAATTGGAATGTGCTCGACAGTAATAAAGGCAAGCCATCTTGCCTGAAATTTTTATTTACTTTGTACCCTCTACCTTTTCTTATTCCCAGCAATTATTCAAAGAATCCTCCATCCTCCATCCTGAAACCAAAATGTTAGAAATACAAGGTTTGAAATGTTATTTCAACATGCCAGTACTCCAAGCCACAGTGTGGGTAGAGGCACAGGTTCCCTGGACAGCCGATTGCTGATCTTACTTGTGGCTTTTGGAGTGAGCACTGACTGATTCTATGTATATTCTTGTAGTGAGAGGTTGCGAATTTGGGGATAAATCTCCTTTTCTTGCACTGATAAGTGACTAGATCAAGACTGACATTAGTGGAGGATTGGAGCAGGTCATCCGCTCACCTTCTCAGCTGGGGAGAACATTTAAAAAGAGGCTCCTAAATATTTCTGTACAGCCTGACATGATAGAAGTTTGTAACATCTTAATTATTATAACATTGAATTTAGCAGCAAAAGATATTCATTCAAATCACAGACGCTAACTTGGAGGTCTCTCTGGGAATACAAACGTCATTTTTTTGGTTTGTTTGTTTATATTTCAACACTTACACAAATTATGTATAAGCAAGCCTGTGAAGAGGTGCATTTTTTATGAGTGCCCATTTCAGCAGCGTTAACTGCCAAGATTGTGCCAGAGTGTAATCTGTGCTGGAATCACTGTGGCATAAACCTGGCATTATAAACCGGGTATTACATATGACTACAGAGTGGGACTGACTGTATGAAAGCAGCCACGCAGAATGGCATACAAAGCCTGTAGCATTTCCCAAGAGATTAAGAGGTGAAGATCTTACTTCCTTCATGCAAGAGGCCCTATCACATATGTTTGATTTTTTTCGGTGAACGGCTATTTCAATAAAACAGTTTCCACTCCCTTCAATTTTTATCTGTGGGTTATGATTTTTGGGGGATATCAAATTCCGTGCATGTTTGCAAAGCTCACAGATGAATCAGGGCAGATGTAATTAAAATTCTGTTTCTTGACTGTTTCACTGCTTTTCAGAGTAAATTTCATATCTCAAAATATATTCTATATTAAACAAATCCTAAATATATCCATCTCTATCATATACTTTACTGATAATATAAATCAAGATTTTTTACATTGTATTTTTGTGGGAGATTCAGGTATTTTTTCTTTTTATTTATATTGTTCCATTGCATTTTCTTTATCTGACTTTCCTCACCTTTGATTCGACTTGCAAGTGAGAGGACCGGGGATCGATTTCCCAGGTGGGGTGAAACCTTAGAAAAGTTTCCTTACTCCACATGCCTCTGTTTACCGAGCAGTAAGTAGGAATATGGTCATTAGCCGATGGGTGCATCTCTTTCCAGGGATAATAATCCCTCAAAAAAAACCTCAATCCACGACTGTTTGTGGGATCCTACTGTGTACAATTGGCTGCTGCATTTTGCCCACAAAATGACGCAGTCAATTCACTTTACAATATAATCTGTGAAGGGCTTTGAGATGTCTCAACAAAGGGATAAGGCGCTATATCAAATGCAATGACTATTATTATTTTTTCATGTATGCTAATTTAGCCATGATTTCTCTACATTTACTCAGCCAATTTAGAGATATTGTCTATTATTATCAAAGTTCCTCATTAAGAAGAGAACATTTGTAGACATTAAATGAAGATTTCTCTAAATCGTCTACATTAAATCATCTTCCATATACATTGTGGAAAAAGAATTCTCTTTTTAGTGACCACATTCTTTGGCATTGTACAATATAATAATTAGTGATTCTCTTTTAAAACAAACGTTGGCTAAAGTGATATTATTTACTGAATTACACATTGAAATGGTATGCTAAGAGGCAATAAATATATCATTGCTGTCAGAAATTCAAAGGTGTTTGGAAATTAATGACGAATGCATTTCAGTTCAATTTCAGTTTTGGCTTCACTTGTACGTTTTCTTCTTTTTCAATGTGTAATAGGAGCAAATTAATTGGTTGTCCATAGTACATGCTGAAAGTTGCAGCATTGTAGTATTGTCTGCACCTTGTACACGTCAGTCATTCCAATATTGTTAATGTTTTTTTCAATGTATTTTTATTCCCATTTCCTCCCCTTTTATAGTCTTTCCAGGATGTGCAGCCCAGCTTTATTTTGAAAAGGGAAAATGAGCATCTGCAGATACAGTATCTCTATAGCCTCTATCAGTACCACTCTATGACCAACTGATAGGGTGTTATTTGGAACATTGGACAATTTCCCTTCATCCTGTTGACAAGGTGCCTCCCAGCCTTTCAATACAGTATTCTGCCTGCTGACCCAACTGAAGTTGGGCTGGGGTTATCACTTGCTAGATATATAGATATATATATATATCACTGACTCGGATTCCGCTCTCAGACTTATTTCACCACTGAACCGCACTGTATGCTGCATATATAATTTGAATGTTTTCCTGCACCTGCTAATGCATTTCTACTAAATGGAAACAGCTGTAATTTTTTCCTAGAAGTCGATTTTGATTTTTGTCAAATCTTTTGTGTCAAGATTATATCTTGATATCACTCAATCAAAATAATACAAAATTCTGTGCTTTTATTTTTTTTAAATGTTAAAGGCCCAGGATGGCAATGCTGCAAAACTAAACTCCCATTTGCTGCGGCCACATAAGCAGCATTCTAAGTTGGGTGCAGTTCAGACAGAAGCGTCCGGTCTGCTCAGCTTCAACAATGAGCCCTATCTCAAACTTGAGAAGTGCTGTTCCTTACTGCATTTGTGTGAATTACGTGAATATTTTCACGTAAGCCACCCATCTTTAATACCTCTCTGATTGAGGGAGATTGACATTTGTGCTACGAGCAGTTCAGTATATTGTGTTCTGTGTGGGTAGATTTAAACTGCGCAAAGTTATTACACTTAGGACCCTTACAGTTGGCACATCAATTTGTATTCAAACTCAGTGAAAAGTCTGTGTGGTGACCCACATCGCTGCCTAGTCCATGATTGAAAACAATTTCAAAAACATCATGAATAATTTTCTATGTCTTATTCGATTTTTGTGAAGAGAATGGCAATGTAAAATACTGTAAGTAAAATTAAATGTATGTTTGTTTCCTGCAGGGTGATACTGACCAAGAAGGAACTGATGATGACCTTCAAAGTATTACAACTTCATCTGTCAACGTAAGTCATATTTGTGGCATTTTCAAGAAACAATTTTAAATGATATTACAGAAATCAAAGTGGTATTATACTAGAACAGAATACGTGTTGAACAAGCCAGTTATATTCCAGTGACATTTGCTGAGATGTTTTCTTTGTACACAGCAAAATTATAGTTTCTACAATTCCTTTCTTTAGCTGCCTTTACAGCATTTGCTCAACAGACTAAGCTAATTGCAGTTGCATTAACATACGTCCTAACTCAGGAAGTCATCGAGACAAGAAAATACTTCAAATATTAAATGAATATTTGCAATTCATTATATTTTTTTGAAAACGGCTTCCTAATCAACTTAGTGGTATATCTTCTAATCTGATTTACTATTACAGTAATTATTGAGAGCGAGTAATCAAAAATCTTAATTGTCATAATATTGTACTATATAATTAGTACAAAGTTTAGAGTTTACAAAATGTTCTGACAGACTTTTTGTTGAAACCATCAACTGCTTACTTACTTATTCAAGCCTCTGATCTCCTGGAGTTTGCTTTCAGCTGTTTCTATTGAGTTTCAAGTATTCATCAATAAGCTTCCTGTTTTTTTGTAAAATGGTATAATTTTGGATTTTTCTCATTTATAAAACATATTTGCTTGTTTGCGCGGTTTAACTCTTTGTTGTATTGAAGTACCCTTCTAATGTTGCCTGAGTATTTTATCTAAAATGTTTGATGAGGCTGGCAAGTTTAAAGTGTATTACTGCAGCCAGTTCTTAATGATGATGATCTAGTTCAAGAGATTAATTGGAGTAGTACTTTTGAATGCATTACGTATTATCATGCATCTTATTTTACATGAAGAGGAAGGTTCAAGTGGGGAGAAATTCCATTGGGTAGAAATGTAGTACTTTAGAGAATCCAGAATTTGGCAAAAAAATCCCCAATGCAGCTTAATTTTGAAGCTAGCTTTCTGTAAGTTCTTTTAAAAATTACAGAAAAATGACTTCATAGTTAAAACTAAATTCAACAATATCCCAAATTCTCGACATGCTAAAATGCTACATAGAGTAGATCTCGATCCAGGTGGAATTTCTCCCACAAAGATTTATTGCAGTAGAAAACAGTTAACCAAATATAGCATCAACCTGACACTGGTTAGCTAGACAGTTAGTTGACCGTTGAAATAACTGTGAAAAGCCTGTACAATGAATCCACTTCAGTCTGAGCCTTGGCCTATTCTTAAACTTGTTTTTGATCCTGACCTTTGCTACTCTGTTATTAATAATACATTATTGACCAGTTGCCTCTTTGGGGATCAGGAAGCGTCGTGTTTCTCAACACAAAGCAAAGAAAGGTCACACAATGATGGCCTCATGTTTGGAAATTTCTGCATCAATGCTACTTTTATAACATTCTGCTTAACCAACCAGTCCCTTTCAAACTTATGTTGAAAGTTTAGAATCCCTTAATCCCTTAACGGAAAGTTTTATTAGGTACATCCTAATGTTAGTTTCTTTTGTTACATTGCCCCAGACGAGGTTCCACAGGAGCCTTCTTCACATTACGACTCTGATAATTACATCATATTTCTTGGTAAAGGGGTAACGACTATTTTAACCATTTTGACATGAAGGTATGTCACTTGGCTGCAGTCAAAATTGTTCGAGTAATATTTCTACCACTGGGCGTTAATTATTTTTTAAACGTTTCTGCAGATTCTGCTGCAACACAGTTTGCTAGAATTCCAGCTTCCCTGCAGCCTAACTTCATTTCCAAGACTACAAGTTCTCTTTCCCAAGGTGGAACAGTCAAGTTGATTGATGCCTGAACAATACGATACCCCTTTCCTTCTTATTTTGCAATGCCTTTTGTTTAAAAGAATGGGAATAACATGCAAACTAGCTTCTTCATGAAAGCTAACACACACACACACACACACACGTATGTGTGAACTATAAAGGGATGATCTCCAATGGTTGTCAAATCTGCAGATCTTGGTGAGTAAATCATATTCTCTGCTGGTCTTTAAATTTACAGACCTTGGCAGCATGAGCTGATAATGGGATTTTCCCCCTATTATAAACTCCGACCACGAAGGTCTGTAAATTTACAGACCAGCAGAGAATAAGATGTTCCCGCCCATAAATTTACCGACCCTCAGAGAGTCTCGCCTCGTGAGTTGTAATCTTTGTTCTAGTTTGGAAATCAGCAGTGATTCTTGTTTTTGTTTTTTAAAAAAAATCTCCAGGGAGATGGAGATTCTTCCAGACTATTAAATCTAGGACTGAAGACACCAATGAGCTATTCTGATAGTAAAAGGAGAGAAATAAAAGTGCAGGAAACAGTGAGCAGAATGTTTTAAAGCAACGTTGGGAATTGAGACTCCCAGAACAATGAGTTTTACATTTCTACTTCTGCTGCAGTTAGTAAAGTATACCTTAGTTACACGATAAGATGGAGATTCTGTTTCTTTAAACTGGTCGGATACTTTTGCTCTTTTTAAACTAAGTGACTTCTGCTTCAGCAGATGACCTCTTTTGTATTTTTAAAACCAAAATTGTTTCCTTTGACCTTTGGACATGGGATAAGAGTAACTGTGGGAAAATGTGTAACAGTGCACTGAGTGTCAGCCTCAGTGCCAGGAATAAGAAGAATTTTTGCATATTGACATTGAGTTGTGGACCATGAAAAGTTATAGCTCTGCCAGTTTCCAGTTTGCTCACAGTATTCCCTTCCGTTCCAAAACCCGATCTGTTTGGCCTGGACAGAAAGCCCTAGCTGTCCTTCCTGTGCTACCACAGAGAGAATGAGAAATGAAGGCTGAAGGCCTAGACAGTTTGCAAGGGAAATGCACACAAGGTCAGGGAGAAATGAGAACGTGTTCGCTTTGTGCTCCCCGGGTGATATCCAATAACCCCTTCAGCTTTCAAACTGTAAAACGCAGATTCATTTGCTCAATTCAGGGAGACAGGAGCAGATTTTGTCAGAAACTTAGCTGGAGTTATATTTGACACAGCCTCACATTGTAGAAGGAACACTTTCTTTATCTAAGCAACAGGAGGGCATGAAAATGTAAGCACTTGACAGAAGCAACATAAATTCAGTGTATTGCTAGTCTGACCCAGGCCACGTGAAAGGAATGCACCGTTTTCCTTTGACGGTCTGATTTCCTGACTGACGTTTGAGCAGTTGTCTAGCCTGGCCACTAAAGAAAGTCTACATCAATTACTTAAAAGGAAGCCAGCCTTGTCTCTGAAAGCTTGGCAGTAGAAGTAGTTATTGTTGAAGTAAAGCTAATGAACTCACTCTTTTTTTTGTATTTTCAAAGGCTTAATTATTTGTTTTAAGGTCACAAGGCTTAAGATCTTAAAACACAGCCTTCTATAGAAATAAAAACTCATTAGATCAGATGAATTGCAGCAGTCTCCTCTTGGTTCACTATAATGTTTTCTTTTCACTCTGCTGCATTTTACTGTTTTTCTGTGACAAGCCTTCTTAATTATAGTTCGTTGCTTTAATATAGATGTGCCGAAACCTCACTCTCACATCTTCCACTTGATCGATTTGTTTCACAAGTGGGAGTGAGATTTACCCACTAAATCTTTACATCTGATGTAAAGATTTAGTGGGTAATGTACATGGCCTGAAAAGTGAAAAGTGAAGTTTGACATAATTCTGTACAAAACATCTCTATATACTATGAAAACATGAACACGTAATGGTCTTTAATGTTTGATCATGTGTACCAGGTGATCAAACCTGTACTGTATTTGGCATATAAATGGATGCTGCTCAAACACAGCACATTTCAACATCTTTTCTCTCCATGCTGCTGATTTCATTTTAACATAACAAGACGTTTGTGTACAAACTTGTGAATTATGTACAGTATGATGTGAATTCCTCATTCAGTACAACACTCCAGTGCAGTGCTGGGGTAGTCTCATTATTTGTTGTTGCAGCACAGTAGGAATTTAACATTGAACCATAAACCTAGGGAGGTCTGATTCCTATTCCTGTGCTGAATTAGTTGATCTCTTTCACTCAGGTAAGGATCTCTCTCACTCAGAGTAAGGATTCCAGAATTGGTCTTGGATATAAAGGAGGAAAACAGTGACTGTTCCTGATCACTTGCCAATTATGATATACAGTAGTATTTTTACCTATTAAAACTATTTTGCGGTGTCCTGTAGGGTATTGGTTAGATACACAATCAAGCAAGAGGACCCGGGTTTGATTCCCGAGCAGGGCAAAACATTAAGCAAATTTCCTTACGCCTCTGTTTACCTAGCATTATGTAAGAACCTGGTTGTTGGTTGATTGGCAAATTGCTTTTTTGAGGGTAGTAATGCCTTCATAAATAAATAATCTGGTCACTCAATCCACGACTTTTTGTGGGACACTGATGTGCGTAATTGGCTGCCACGTTTCATCCACAAGATATACACTTTACACTATATTCTGTGAAGCGCTTTGAAACATCTTGAAGGGGTGATATGGCACTATATCAAATACAAGGATTATTATTACTTTAGAACTTGGATTAAAAATCTTACTTTTCTTTCTTTGAAGTATATTTTGAAATAAGATCTGTTTTTAAAACATATTTACATACAGTAAATAAATATTTCACTTTGGAAGATTCTTACTTCAGACTGCCCAGTCTCTGCAAATACTTAGGATTTGACAAAAGATCTTTCCCTGCAAAGTTACTTGTAAGGCACAAGAATAGTCTGTAGTTTTCCCCAGCTCTCCCTATTATAAGTTTACACAGTCTTGGCTTCATGTCTTAGTTTATAAAGTCCGTTATCCTGATGTAGGGGGACAAAGAGGTGGGTTTGCTGTTTTTGTAGAAAGTCAGCACAGATAGGATGCTGAAATGAACCCAATTCAAAGCTATCCACATAAAACACCCTTGTTGCTTTCAATGAGTTCTTGGCACATCACAAAAACAGTTTTTGTTTCAGAATTAAGGTCCCAGTGTAAACAAAAACCCTGGACATTGCTCAAATCACACTTCCTGC